GGATGTGGGTGTGGAAGCACAAAGCCCCAGCTATGGGTGGTGCCCATCCCATCATCAGGAGGAAAGCTGGTCTTCAGACGAAGCCGATCTTCCAGGCAGAATGAGGGACAAAAAGAACATTGGTTCTTGATGATGCCATTGGGCTGCTGGTTCAAGTCATTCCTGAAGCAGCATCATTTCTGGACATTCCAATGGCAGGGACCAAAATGTCTCTTTGGTTGTTTAATCTACTTTGAAGGCTGGGCGTAGTGGCTCACACCTGTAATACCAGCACTTTGGGAGGCTGAGGCAGGTGGATCACCTGAGGTCAGGGGTTCAAGACTAGCCTGGCCAATGTGCCAAAACCCTGACTTTACTAAAAATACAAAAATTAGCTGAGTGTGGTGGCAAGTGCCTGCAGTCTCAGGTACTTGGGAGGTTGAGGCAGGAGAATCACTTGAACCCAGGAGGCAGAGATTGGCAGTGAGCTGAGATCGCGCCACTGACTCCAGCCTGGGTGACAAAGTGAGACTCCATTTCAAAAAAAAAAAAAGTTAAACTAATGCTGGGTGCAGTGGCTCACACCTATTAATCCCAGCGCTTGAGAGGCCTGAGCAGGAGGATTGCTAAGCCAGGAGTTCGGAGACCAGCCCAAGCAACGTTAGAGGTTATCCCCATCTCTACAAAAATTTAAAAATACCCATGCATGCGGCACTTCCTATAGTCCCAGCTACTCAGGAGCCTGAGGCTGGAGGATTGCTTGGAGGCCAGAGGTTGGGGCTGCAGTAAGCCATGATCTGGCCACTGCAATCCAGCTTGGGTACACGGAAGTGAGACCCATCTCAAAGAAAAAAAAAAAAAAAATTAAATGAAATTCCTTCCATAGTTAACTTGGCCAATATCCAGGAATGAACAAGGGCAGCTTGGAGGTTAGAAGTAGGATGGAGTCAGTTAGGTCAGATTTCGCTCACTGTTGTATTTGCAAAGGCAGTTTCAGTCTCCACCCACTCTTGGGAGTATCATCAGAGAGTGACAGTCAGGGTGAGGCATGCCAGCTACTGCAATGAGCAAGCTCACTGTGTCTGTGTGTGCAACAACCGCCCAACACTGTGTATTCCAGATGCCTCTCCCTCTGGTCCTCTTGCTTCCAGCTTGTGTTCAGAAACCCTTCTGACACTGCAGTCTCAGAGGGATCCCCCTCCTCCAGGCAGCACGGCTTCCAAGGCCTTCCTACCTCATTCTGGAGGCCTCCATCCAATGACATAGCATCTCTAGCCAGCTCTGCAGAGGAGCTGCCCTGGTGGCTTGCTGGGCCAGAGGAGTTATCAGAACCTGGTGGGGGGGCTACAGTGATTACTACAGCCATTCCCTGGGGACATTTCACAGTCTGTGGGAGGCTCATTCCAGGTTCCTTCCATCGGCCTCACCCTTAGAGCCTCCCTGGGGGATTGCGGTGCACGTCTTCTTTGGTTTCCATGATACCGTCTCTTCCCTGGCTCTCCTCCCACTTCTTTTGCTTTTTTTATTTAAAAAATGTTTTTTTTAAAAGATGCAAAGTCTTGTCCTATTGCCCAGGCTACAGTGCAGAGGTGCAATAATAGCTCACCGCAGGCTTGACCTCCCAGGCTCAAGTCATCCTCCCACCTCGGTCTCCTGAGTAGCTGGGACTACAGCTATGCACCGCCATGCCAGGGTAATTTAAAAATTTTTTTTAGAGATAGGGTCTCGCGCTGGGCCCAGTGGCTCACGCCTGTAATCCCAGCACTTTGGGAGGCCGAGGTGGGCAGATCATGAGGTCAGGAGATTGAGACCATCCTGGCTAACACGGTGAAACCCCGTCTCTACTAAAAATGCAAAAAATTAGCCGG